AGAGAGAGAGAGAGAGAGAGAGGGGGGGGGGAGAAAACAAGCTGACTCGAGGGCAAGGATAAGACAAAGGCATCTGTCCTGATTCTAGGAGGCTGTTTATCCATCTTCTCCTCAATGCCACTCTTGTTTGCCATTCACCCAGCGGCTTAATTACCCCGTACGACGTCTGCTGTGAGGGGAATGACGTCACAGATATCCGGGAATTCCTCGCCTGACCCTGACGGACATGTTTTGCAAATTCCGGAGGAGATCTCGTGACCTTCAGGGATGGCACAACAACGAAGTTAGTTTATTATCATTATTATTTCTTTTGGTAAGTGTTTTACAGACACTATTGCTGCAACGCAAGACAGAGTGAAGTGAAGGTCCATGGTCGCCCACGCCAGTCGGCAAGGCACCGGGTGATGATGAAGTGTTTTACGGCGCTCGCAGCTGCATAAGGTCATATGAGCGCGCGGGACACATTGAGCATTTCCAGTTGGTAGGAAATCTTTGAATTTTGCACGGGTGGCGGCCGAGGCCTACTCTAATTTATCGACTTTGGACCTTCAACGTGCGCAACTTGCATACGAGACCTCCGAGATTATCTTATCTTATCTATCAACGGACACATTGTTACAGCACGTTTAGTACCATTATAAGAACCACGAATATGTATATTCCATAGTTTGCTCATTGCAGTTTTCCTTTTGAAGTTTCAGATAACACGGAATTGGAAAATGTGTATGAATAACAAAGTCGTACTTTATGCTTTTTTAAAAGTGCCCCAAAACAATGGAACTTCAAGTGTTTGCTACCACATAATTACAAAGCTCTATCTGCTTAGCACCGAGTTTTGAGAAATTGGATGTAAAAAATGTTGAAGTTCACATTATTTAAGGCTACCGGACTCGTAATCGTGAGGTTGCAGGTTCGGGGGTTCGAGCCGCGGCCGACGTTGTGTCCTTGGGAAAGGCACTTGACTCGAATTTTCCTCAATTCACCCAGGTGGAAATGGGTACACATCTATAGATGGTGAAAGATCTTGTCAGTTTGTTGGTGTTTCAGCGCTTAACCAGCTGTTTGCACTGTATGCTTCCCGGGAAGCTGAGAATGTTTCTGAGAGTTCTATGGTCTGCTGGAGTAATAATACATGTATAGTGTAAAGCACATGGAGCCTGCTTTCGAGTGGGTATATGCCCTATACAAATGCTACTTATTATTATTATTATTATTTTATTTTTTCGAATGCAATTTCTTGATAACGACTCCGAATAATCTTATGGGATTTGACAGATAAAACATTTGATTTCTGACATCGCCGAAGTCTTAGTAACTCAAAACAGCCAACAATGTCAGATAGAATTTTGTAATTCCAAGGTACAGTATCGCTGAAAGGCCATAGCATGAGTCTTCAAAGAGTTAACAGGCGGTCTTATCAGCCGGTGAGGTGTAGCGCGTTTACCAGGTGCCTATTGCGGATGGAATCGGGTCGGGTCGGGTCGGGTCGGGTAGATCGCCCGACTCGTCGCCTGAAACCAAACGCCTTTGATTTTTAGGCGACGAGTTGGGAGCGATCGGCTTGTTCCACGATAGCGCCTTGCACCCCCAACCTGGCTTGCAAACTGCCCCGACCCGAACGGGTTTCCAAATGGGCACCCAGTATTAGGAGTTTCGCTGTCGTACGCAGGGGACTCGAGTTCGATCCCACAGTGGGGAGGTCTTTCTGCTGGGATGTTGTATCCCTTTTCAGCCCAGGTTGTTATAGTTATATGTGGCAGGCAAGGTCGGAAGTAAGCCGAGCTCCTCATGATCTAAAACCGTGCCGATGAGGGCTCAAAGAAAAACCTACATAAAAAACCACGATCTTCAAACAGCATGAATGATACAGCTTTTCCCGGGTGGCAGAATTAGAGGAATTTGAAGTAGGTTGCCCAAGAGGGAGGGAGGGGAAAAGCAGAGAGGCGACCGATTTTCTTTCCTCGGCTCTGCCGAGTTTCCGTAAAAAATGAAGCTTACAATGTGTAAATCAAATACGAGTTAAAAACGGAT